CCCGAGCTCGGCGTCAAGGCATAGTCAAGAAGACCGAAGGCGAGATAGGACAAAGGTGGTTGGCGCGGCCAGACCCGCACCTAGGCGTACCAACACATGTCATGGCCCACAACAAACACATAACCAAGGTTTTAACCAGCGACGAAAAATGTGTCAGGAAGAGAAGAGTGACACAAGTCACTGAGCAATCAATGCACACGATCTGTATACCTAGCGGCAGCGCAATGGCCTCCACCGGGTGGGAACCAGGGGCCATAATTTATGAAGCATTGGTATGGCAACGTCACTCACGTAACCGTTGGTATCTGAAAGCGCGCATAATGACGATATAAGCGGTTGCGTGCTTTTCTTAGTCCACATGTTGATTCCAGGCGCCGTTTCATGAGTTCCGCTGCATAGGTTCCAGCTAACAGGCATGAACAGGATTTTTTGAAGTTATCTTAAACTCCCCCCATCCCTTACTCCTACAATAGTGGACGGAGAGGGCATCCGCCCGTGCCAGTCCTGCGTCTGCGCTCTCGTTGCCTCTACACTGGCCACTGCAGTGACGCAACCGGCCGACGTGTTGCGGACCAGTCGTCAACTCCGCAACCATGCTTCACCTGTCGCCTGGTTGGAGGTATTCCGTGACACGGTACGCGCTGACGGAATCACCGGCCTTTGGCGTGGACTATCCCTGCGTCTGCTGCGACGTACCGGCTTCTCCTGTATCACGTGGACCCTGTTTGACCACATTCCTCCTATCGCTGTTAGGCATTGCGGTACTACCGGCGCTCTGCCACGACCCTGAGCCGCATCCCTTCTTGTAGACTCAACCCAGCGCGGCACACATTGTAGCGTCCCGGCCACTTTGCCACCCTCTACCCCCCCCCCGCATCGGACATTGGTCCTACAACGGCACCACTCACCCCCCCTCCCGATCAGGTCTCCTGCCACTGGTCTTTCCATTTTGCCTCTCCCTCCTTCTTCTGAAGGGCAGAGTGCAGATTTCAATATTTTTACGCCAAGAATGCGCAGTCTGGATTCCGGTATTATGGCACAGAAGCCGATCGCCCTTCTGATGACCGTCATCGCAGCCGCCGCCATCATCATCATCATCATCATCATCATCATCATCATCATCATCATCATCATCATCATCATCATCATCATCATCATCATCATCATCATCATCATCATCATCAAATGCAGTGCTTGCCGTTGTCAAACGAGAAGTTCCACTTCTCTCTTTTGTCATGTACAGCTTTTTGCCCTCCGCCACAACCACAGCCCTGAGTTCGTCCTTCCGCTCAGCGCTTAAGCTGACTCCAGGCGTCAGTAGTCTACTCTTCAACGACAAAAACCGACGGTAATGGAAGCTAGGTTTATTGGTGGCAGATACAGGATGAGAATACTGCGCCGGAGGCTGCCTCTTCATTATACCAC